TATATATATATATATATATACTAGATATACTAATTAATTAATCTGGAAGCATATTTTTTTTAAATCCGGTGTCTTAGACAAACACTAGATTTTGTAATTGATCTCTTGGCTTGACTACATCTTTGGTGCAAACATTTATTTTAAATGTGGTTTGATGCACATATTACGAGTCTTCTCTCGCCTAGCCTGCTGTGGCCATGAATACATTTACGTTTAAACTGCTTGAAATTGCTATAGTTTGTGAGGGTTTTAAAATAATGACCGTTTTTGGCAGCAATGCCAGACTTTCTGATAATTGAACAGTGACGAGGAGGATCTGTACCCTATTGCTTATTGGTATCACTTCAGTTTAGCTAGATTTATTGAGTAATTTATTTACATTGTCTCTCTTCAAGGCAACTTGTGGCAGACTGTTGTATTTATTGGTTAATTACTCAATTTAGCCATTGTCTGAAGAACATTTTTCGGGGAAGTCGAATTCATCCTTCAGCCCCCTCAATTTCTGCATATTTCGTTCCCATTTTCGTAAACTCTTGATTTCACTTTTTAAATCCAATCCTGTTTGCTGCTAGCCTACCCCGTAGTACGTGTGGAAATTGGGTTGTAGATTTTCAGATAGTGACATTACCTCATCTCATTATCAGCTCATGCTGTATGGGGCTTCGAAGAAGCTATACGATTTTTCTCTTCTAGTTTTTATGCTTATAGAAGCATCTGGCGCCTATCGTACTCTTCACCGAGTAGAGAGGAAGCTGACCATACTTTTAGACATTTCGTACGCCATAATTTAACTTACATATGTATTCATCTGTTTAGGTATTCATTTGGCTGGAAAAATGCAAATGATCAGGTGATTCTTTCTAAGCTCGAGCTTCTAAAAAAATTCACCTGAGTTCTCATTACTCCGTTTAAAATTCTGATGTATCTCCCACCTTTTTCCCTTTAATACATGGCATCTCATACGGTGCCACGATTCGGAATTCTCAAAAGTGTCTATGAAAGTGAATAAAAATAAGACCAATACCTTCTAAACAAGGCGTGAAAGAAGGGCAGGACATGTCATAATAGTATATATATATATCATGATTATTGATATGCCGAGAACCAAAGGAAGAAGTCGCTTCACTTTTCTATTACTTTTTCTTTAGCATTGATTCCCGAAAGAATTTCTCCTCAGGACTGTACTGAACTTTTCACCTCGCCCACACATCTTCAGCCCCGACAGCATTCGAATCCTGGCCGTGTGCACAAAGCAACATTGAGCCACGTACTACAGTGCGCATGTCGATCTCGAGGCTGAATTCTGCAATCTTCTGGATTATTTCACATGGGGGATATCCGAATGTAGAAAAATTATGGTCATACTTCGTATTCGATCTAGTATTTATTTAATATGGTTAGATCGTTTTAAATCCTAACAGCACTTTTCACAGTTGTAAGCATGACAAAGGATCAGGCGATTAGCCTGCCTGACTTGGTATTAACTAAAACTGTATAAGAAGGCTGACTTAACACCATACCAGTGTACGATTTATCAACTAAATGTATGCTGATAAATGCTATATACGAATCCAGGATCATTTAAAGCGGCCGTGTATTTGAACTTTATTCAAGGCTCAGTAAGCAGGACGTGCAACATTACCTGAAGCATACCTAAAGACAAAAAACGTTGTCTTTAGGTATTTTTGTCTTTAACTACAACCGCATTAACTGACTATTTTGTACAAGCATGATTTTTATAGTGACTCAGATCTCTCTCCAAAAGAAGGCGTTAATTGAAAAAGCATGATTGCCTATCGTTCTTTCATTTCTTTCCTTAAATCTTCTCCTTTACCAGCATGGCAAAGTAAGGACATGAGAAAAGTTCTTGAGCTCCTTGACTCATTATAGCTGGTTTCCAGCTGCCTATTCTGCCTCTAGATTAAATCATTGAACAAACGTTCATTTCGAGTTAAAGTGTGTTGTGATGATGGGGTTAAAAGGTTAATCCAACCAGAAGAAGATGGCGGGTTCCTTTTTGCCAGTTGCCGATTAGCTTTAATGGAACATTCTTGCTGATGCTGTCCCCGAGGCAATCTCCTTCGATTTAAATGAAAGCGCGCCAATATTTCGTCTGTCGTATTACGGACATCATCAGAGCAAGGTTTGATTATCGCAACCATGTTCAAGTTAATGAATCGAGAAAACTCACGTTTTCATCGGAATTGAAGGAGAATTTCTCGGTGACAATGTCAACAAGAATGTTACAATAATGCAAATCTGCAGCTGGATAAGGCAAATCAGTCGTCTTTTTGTAGGATTGATCTGCGAAGCCAAGAGATAGTTAAAAACTCAATTTTTATTCTGGGTTAAATTAGCTCTCGATTTCTTGCGAGATCGACTTGTGAATTTCACTTGCAATTTATAATGCAATGAAAGTTAGCCTACACAACAATTTGTAGAGAGGGACACTGGCTCTTGCTTCGTCTGATTACTTCATTATAATTTTTTCTACGTTTTCTTGCTAATCATTGTCCTTCTCTTTATTTTCCCCTATATTTAAGTGATCTTACTTTGTAAAATTTACTGTATCATTTCGCTTTCCTCCCATTACATACAATTTCGTCCACCTCCCTTGAACTTGACATTAGACACAAATATTCATAAAAATTCATAAATTGTACTTCGATAAGGCATCCGACAGCCCTTAAATTATTTTAAATAATTTACTTGCATTTTGCGCTAGATTACATCCATTCCTCTATTAAGAATATGACTGTGATTATCATAATTTGTAAATCAGGATTTTTCGAAAGATTTATTCTATGATTATGCATGCTCTTTCAGCTTTCCTTTAAGGAGGCTAAAACTGAGTTTTCGGTTTTTATTTAGTCAGCATTTCTTTTTCAGTGAGCACAATTACTTCGTGCCGCCATATACCTGTCCGGCATTTGATGGTGTCAATAAGTCTGGTCCTCCAATATCCTGTGACTTGAGTCAAACCGATGTGGATGACAATGCCAGCGACAATGGTCCGAATCAGAATAACTTTGAAGACGACCGATCAAATATCTGCGCGGCTCACGATAGTGGTGAATCACGAAGAGAGTTGACTATAATAAGGAGTTGTAGCAACGGTAGTACCGACATGGTGAGACCTATCTTCTTCGTTCATTATTTGATGCTTTTTGTAGCTGGTTTCAATTACTGTGGCGACTTTTATCTCGTACGAAAGCGCCTGATAAATGGATTCGTAGATTGATCTTATCAGAAAACGACGATTGAGTTTCATTGTTCTTCAATTGTTCGTAGGATCCACGAGACGTCATCTTTCGGTTTAGGTGAAAACGGGCTGAACTTTATTACGTCATATGACAGACATCGTCAGAGCTGGGACTCATTTTGTGATAGTTTCAAGTTAA